TATAAGATTCTATATATGAACCCCAAAAAGGAACTACTTTAGGGCCTGTGGGTAGTATAGAAGCTTAAAAACCACCTCATTATAAATCTAGGTGCCCCAGGAGTACCTTTTTGCCCTTTTTCTTTCTGGGCTCCCTTGATAAAACCAAATAGTAGGAAAAAGGGTACCCTTATTGTTTAGGGGCTACTGGGGAACCTAGTAATAGAGCTGTCTGATTCACGAGTACTCCTCCCCCGGTGGGCTCCCTTAGATGGCTGCGTTCGATTTTGATTCCTGAGGCCCCTTTCCCTAAACCCTAAACCCTAAACCCTAAACCCTAAACCCTAAACCCTTATGTAACCCTAAACCCTAAACCCTGAGGCCCCTTTAGTAGGGTTGAGCCTCTCCGAGGTTCCCCTCTCCTTTACGAAAACTTCCTCGTTAAGATTGAAGAGCGACTAATTGGTACGAAGAGTTACCGGGCACCAGGTTTGGGTTTAGGGTTTAGGGTTTAGGGTTTAGGGTTTAGGGTTTAGGGTTTAGGGTTTAGGAATTCCACTTGGCTTAGGGCATGGGACTTAGGGTTCTAGAGTAGAGATCTGACAGTTGAGGGGGGGGGGAAAAGCCCCCCACATTAAGCCCCAAACCCTAAACTATTAAGCCCTAAACCCCAAACCCTGAACCGTAAACCCCAAGGCCCTAAATCCTAAACCCCAAACTCTATGCTAATTACTAAGGCACATACATAAAGCCCGAAACCCCAAACCCTAAACCGATTTAACAGCAGGTGCTTCTTCAAAAAAAATGCTCTATTCATTCAGGCCCCTACATTGCCCTAAACCCAAACCCTAAGCCCCAAACCCTACACCCCAAACCCCATCGTGGGGTTGGAACAGGGTTCCTTTAAAGTGGCCGATAAGGTTGAGGGTTCAGGATTTAGGGTTTAGGCGCCCCATGCGGAGTTCTCCAAAGTTCGGTCCCTTTTCGGGTACCCAACGCAGAAAGGCACCCTCAGAAAGAAAACGGACACTAAAAGGGACCCTGGTTTGGAGACTTACCCCCATGTATTTATAATAGGGCTCCTTTAAAGGGGCCGATAAAGGGGTTACTGTAAACCCTAAACCCTAAACCCTAAACCCTAAACCCTAAACCCTAAACCCTGAACCCAAAACCCTAAACCCTAAACCCTAAACCCTAAACCGGTTTTGTAAGTGTGTTCCATGATGTAGGGGCCCCTGATGCGCAGAACAGGGTTCCTCTCAGGGCCCCTTTAAGTCAGGAACCCAAAAAGGGCATAAGCATAAGCCGTTACAGTGATATCCCCACCTTATTGTTGTTTATATGGGATATCCCTATCCTAAATTGTGCTTGTGTGCTTTCGGGGGCCCTATTAAGAAGGAGTCTACCAGGGCTACGACTAAGGGCCATAGAAATGAGAGGGTTGAGGGCTTTGGGGCTTTAGGGTTTAGGGTTTTAGGGTTTTAGGTTAGGGTTTAGTGTCCTCGGGTATATTTTAGTATCGCTTTTCGTAAGGGGCCCTAAGCAATTATGTTCCCTAAACCCTAAACCCTAAACCCTAAACCTGTTCAGGGTTCTGCTTAAGGGAGATTCTCCGTTAAACCTTACGAGGCCAAATTGCAGGGCACAAGGCTCCAGATCCGGCGAAGACCTTCACGTAGACGATAAACCAACAATAGTAGTAATATTAATCATAATCATAACAATAATAATAATACAAATAATAATAACAATAACAATAATAATCGTAGTAATACTAATGGTAATCCTGGGCCCCAAACCTAAATCCGAGCCATTCAGGCCGCATTGTTGGGTGTGGCAAAGCCGTGAGAAGGTTGATGCGAAGTCCTTGAGGCAGCAGCCACCCTAAACCCTAAAGCCCAAAAAGCAGCCAGACGAAACTGTTGAAACCCGGCCGCTTCATTGCAAAACCCTCTGCTGAGAAAGGCGCCGTTGCACGGCAAGCCCCAGCAGAAGCTTGTGAAGCCCTGTACAGTGTAGAAGGCTTGAAGTCGTCGAAGGAAACCTCGAACTCTATAAGTCTGGAACCTTGTTTCCTCTCCGAGCATACTATAGGGGCCTCAATAAGTACCTATATGATTTTGGGGGGTTCCTTGTTATATTTATACTATACAGTTCCCCAAAACCCTGTTCTGATTATTGAGGCCCCTACACCCTAAACCCTTATAGTAGCCCTTCTTAAACCCTAAACCCTACTGTAATTGTTGAGGCCTTCAAGGACCCCTCAAAGGAACCCCTGAAGGGAACCCTTAAAGAACCCCTTAAGGGAACCCTTAAAGCAATCTTTAAAAGAGCCCTCAAAGGAACCCCTAAACCCCTAAAGGAACCCTTAAAGAACCCCTTGAGGGAACCCTTAAAGGAATCCTTAAAAGAGCCTTCAAAGGAACCCTTAAAGGAACCCCTAAAGGAACCCTTAAAGGAACCCTTAAAGGAACCCTTAAAGGAACCCTTAAAGGAACCCCTAAACCCTAAACCCTAAACCCTTAAAGGAACCCATTAGCCTCACAAGGTTCCTGTTCTTCGGTGAACATGCTGCGAAGCTACCGGCGCCGGCGTTGGAGACGCTGCATCTGGGCGTTCTTCTGGTTGGCTCTTAGGGTTTAGGGTTTAGGGCTAAGGGTTAGGACTTTAACTTTTGGGTTTCTATATGAACTACTATTAGGGGCCTCAATAATTACCTACATTATTTTTGTGGTCCCTTTTTATAAACATGCTATAAAGGACCCCCCCAAAACCCTATTCTCATGACTAAGGCCCCTATGTTTGAATAAGAGCGCTAAAAGTTTAACTTCTAGCTCTAGGACATTTTCTAGAAGGTCTATATACCTTATAGGAGCCTTACAAAAGCCCTATATACCCTAAACTCCCCACCTGTCGTTTCCTTTGGTTAGGAGGGGTTCAGAAGTCAGCCTAAACCCTAAACCCTAAACCCTAGGCCCCTAAGCCCTAAACCCTAAAACCCTAAAAGGGGTTCAGAAGTCAGCCAAGGCATGAGCGGCTTTGCCGAGAGTTGCTGGACGAGGGCCTCTCGGCTCCCATGGCCTTTAAAGGCTTCGAGATCTTCGGGAAGATGAACGTGGCCCAGTAGTAGACTTGGTAACCTTTATAACTCTTTTTGGGGGGGTTTAGGGTTTAGGGTTGAGGGTTTAGGGTTCTTTTGGTTGGCTCTTAGGACTTTAACTTTTTGGGTTTAGGGGTCAGCCAAGGTGGCCCAGTAGTAGACTTGGTAACCTTTATCACTTTTTTTTGGGTGGTTTAGGGTTTAGGGTAGCCTTCATAACTTTTTGGGGTATGATAAACCCTGCATAATCCCAAAGGTTAGCCTTTAGTTCCCCTAGGGTTTAGAGTTTTGGGTGCTGGACATCCAAGATGGTGGTGGCCACCTTCGATGCTCCTCAATCCATGCTGGACTTACGAGACAAGGTCCTCAAAGCTTGTCTCAAGGACGCCGGGGGCACGACACACACACAGAGGTTTCACGTGCTATTCTCAGAAGCCTACATTCCCTACTTTTGTGCGAAAGAAAGACGAAGAAGCGTCAAAATCCAAGAAATCAAGCAGACGGACACTTATGCCGTTCTTAGGAGCGCCGCTTTCATTCCAGGCTTCTGCAGTTGAGGAAGTCGTCGAAGCCACAAACGAACCCTCCCCCTTCCTAGGTAGTTCTAGGGAGACCCCCAAAAAAGGGGAGCCTTCTTAACCCTACGTTCTGGCACTCTTAAAGGGGACCTGATCCCCTGTTTTTCGAAGATCTTCAATAATTACCCATACTATTTTGGGGGGTTCCATATTTTTGTTACAGATAGTATTTTGTTATAGTATAATATACCCCAAAAAACCCTGTCCTACTTATTAAGGCCCCTATACCCCCAAGCCCTATCCTACTTATTAAGGCCCCTATACCCCAAAGCCCTATCCTACTTATTCAGGCCCCTACATTATTGGAGGATCCATATTATAGTTATAGTATAATCTACCCCAAAGCCCTATCCTACTTATTAAGGCCCCTACATTATAGTTATAGTATAATATACCCCCAAACCCTATCCTACTTATTTAAGGCCCCTACATGATTGGAGGATCCATCCTTCCCCCCTGCCTTTGTCAAGCTGCTCAAGGAGCAGGTCGTTCCTCGGATGGGTTTAGGGTTTAGGGTTTAGGGCTTAAGTGTTTAAGGGTTTAGGAGTTCCTCGGATGTTAAAGCATGCGAGAGCCGTTGAATCCCAGGTTGTTTACTCGGTTCTTTCCGGTGCTCATTGAGAGGGTTTAGGGGTTTAGGGTTTAGGGTTGAGGGTTTAGGGTTTTGGGTTTTGGGTTTAGGGTTTAGGGTTTAGGGTTGAGGTTGCCGCTTGAGGGGTATTATTCTGTTTGAACGGGCAGCGGGTGGTTAAATCGTAGGTATTCAGGCGTCAACGGTGCAGATGCCTCCATCCGGGACTTGCTTCATAGCTTTAATTCGGATTTAGGCTGTCGGGTTTGGCTTGGTCAACTCAGATACTTGAAAAACCTTCAACACTAAACCTGTATACTAAAGCCTATCGCTTGTTCCTACACCTCTGGCCCTAAGAGAGGAGACTAAAAAATAGTATCTCCGTATAGTCATGTTGACGAAAACGATCAGTGACCCCATCATCATGGTCCTATGGAATCCTCCTCAGAGTCATTGATGGAGACCCCTTTCACAAGGAACACTGCACGGAATCCCATTCTGACTGTCATAGAGCCTTCATAGAAGCTTCTCAGAGGAGCCCTCATATGGGTAGTTCTCTAAATTAGGGCCCCGTTTTGGGTCCCCAATAAAGTACGGCACCCTTATAAAAAGGACCCCAAAAGGGACCCTAATTTAGAAAACTACCCATATACTAGAAGCCCAAAAGTTGGAAACCCAAATAGCCTCAATCCTTAAGAGTAACGTATAAGGAATCCCAGCACTATGTGTCCTGAATCCGGTTTCCAACTTTTTGGGGTTTACTATAGACCTCTTTGGGTTTAGGGCTTTCGGTTGAGGTTTCAGTTACGGCTTTGGGTTTAGGGTTTAGGGTTTAGGCTTCAGTTGCGGCTTTGGATTGGGGGTTTAGGGGTTAGGTTTCAGTTACGACTTTGGGTTTAGGGCTTCGGGTTTAGGGTTCAGATACGGCTTTGGGTTTAGGCTTTAGGGTTTAGGTTTCAGAGACCCTGGGCCTTAAAACCGGAACCACTGAAGTGCAACCTCCCCTCCCCGAACCCGAAGCCCGCCCAATCCGTTTGTCAGAATTTTTTTAGTATAGTAAGATCTGATATAGAGTATAGAGTATAAAGTATATAGCATAGTATGAAGGTATGGTTTAGAGTATAGAGTACATAGCCCCGACCTTTTCAAGCTCGAAACGGAGTGCCCTGAACCCTGAACTCAGAACAGCAGAGGAGTGGATCCCGCACATCACGCTCGGGAAGATCCGCGCCACCCGGGCGCAGCTATCCTCCGTCAGCTGTAGAAGGCAACGGAAAAGAGGGGCTAGTTCTTAACATAGGGGCCTTAATAATTAGAATTCTTAAGTGTTTTGGCGTATATTATAGTATAACTGTCATAAGGAACCCTTGAAAACCTTATTTTTATTATTCAGGCCCCTCTATTACAAAAGAACCTTTTTGCTACCCTTAAAGGACCCCTACAGCCTAAACCCGAAATCGGAACCGTTTGGGTACCCTTGCAGGAACCCAGGGGTTCAGAGTTTAGGGTTGGTATAAAGGAATCTTTTTGGTACCCTTTAAGCAAAGCCTTAAAGGGTCTCTTTTAGGGCTCAGGGTCTGAGGTGGGGTTTGAGGTTTAGGGCTTAGGGTTTCGGGTTTGGGTTTAGAGTTTAGGGTTTTTGGGCGGGTCTGGGGTTCAGGGCTTCGGGTTTAGGAGCTTCCGAGGCTAATGCAGGGGCCTTGTTTTAGGGTATGTCATACTATGCTACAGGCGCAAGGGGTAATGTAGGGTGGTTATGGCTTGCTTCAGTTTGGCGTCTAGGGTCTAGGGTTTAGGGTAGGGGCCTTGTTGGGATTCCTAATTATATTTATACTAGAAAGAAGCCCAAAAGTGAGGCCCAGACATTATGTAGGGTGGCTATGGCTTGCTTTAGCTTAGTGTTTAGGGTCTGGATCGAAGGGTTCAGGGCACCAAAAACGCCAGAGTGCAAATGTAAGGATTAGGCTTTAGAGTTGGAACGTACGGTTCGATTAAAATGATCTGATGTCAAGAACTTTGGGTTTAAGCCCTAGACTCTAAACCCCAATCTCGAAACCCCTAAACTCTAAACCCCAAACTGTACACCGTAAGCCCTAGACTCTAAACCGAAAGTTCTAAACCCCAAACTCTAAACGGTAAGCCCTAGACCCTATACCCTAAGTTCTAAACCCCAAACTCTAGCCGTAAGTCCAGACTCTAAACCCTAAGTTCTAAACCCAAACTCTCAACCCTAAGCTCAGAACTTCAATCTCTAAAATCTTAATCCCCAAACCCTAAACCCCAAACTCCAAACCCCAAGCCCAAAAGCCCTATTCTAATTATTGAGGCCCCTACACTCTAAACCCTCATAGTAGCCCTTACAGAACCCTTTAAGGAACCCTTTAAAGGAACCCCACAACCCTAAACCCTCAACCCCCAAAACCCCAAAACCCTAAAACCCTAAACCCTAAACCCTTAATCTTGGGCCCTAAACCCTAAAGCCCTAAAACCCTAAGCTCTGAACCCGAAGCCGGGCTTTTGGAAGGCTCCGTGCGTCGCTCAAAGCGGCGCAACCGAAGGCCAGGCTTGGTATCGACTAGTAGGTTTAGGGTTTAGAGTTTAGGGCTTTAGGGTTTTAGGGTTCAGGGTTTAGGGATTTAGGGTTCAGGGTTTAGGGATTTAGGGTTTAGGGGGTTAGGGATTTAGGGATTTAGGGTTTAGGGTTTAGGGATTTAGGGTTTAGGGGTTTAGGGTTTAAGGATTTAGGGTTTAGGGGTTTGGGGTTTCGCCTCTAGGGATTTAGGGTTTAGGGGTTTAGGGATTTAGGGTTTAGGGATTTAGGGTTTAGGGGTTTAGGGTTTAGGGGTTTAGGTTTGAGGGATTTAGGGTTT